AGTATATGAAAGAGCATGGTTTGTACTGTACTCTTTCCTATCCCTATTACCTCTAGGGCCTTATATTGTTTGTTCTGGAAGAACATGATTTCATTACTGTCAGATGATTTCTATTCCTTGTAAAGCACATATTGGTGTTACCTTGGGGTACTGTGTAAATAATACAAATCTCACAATGCCTCTTTGATGAGAGGGCTTAAACCCAACCAGTGTGTCCAAAAGCACCTTGAGTTTTATCTCAGTAATGCCTGGAAGAAAACCATATCTGTCAGGAAAAAGGAGAAGATTAATGTACAGAAAGGAAGCTGTGATGTTTCTATTGTCCTCAACAAATAATGTACACCAAAAAAATGTATCTGAGTGAAAAAGAAATTCAGTGGGCCTTATAGATAGCTCAGCATAAAATCCTTTACAGCTGTGGAAACATTTTTCAAGGACATATTGCACTGTCATCATATAAAAGCAACAATTTAATTGCCACCTTTGAACCTTTGCTCATGCAAGTTTCACTTAGCAAAGATACTAATGTACTTCATTTTTGATGAAAATACTCACTATAGAGCCTAGAGAATTAATTTCAAATAACATATATATTTATAAATACATAAGTACAAAAAATAATAAGCTAGTATACGTCCCTAAGAGCATAATTTAATTGTTGCTTAACCCTAAAATTCTTTTCAAGAAAAAAGACTTGAATACCTATCATTAATTTAAATGCACTTGGTATTTTCACAAAATGTAGAAACTGAATATCAAAGAAAGATGTGTCCCTTTTTTGCATTTATTTCCTTTAAATGGTGAAAAAACTCCTGATAGTCAACATCCACGTTTTATTTTCAACAAGAATCAGAAAACTGTCAAAGACAAATTGTTTTCCATCATACAAATGACTTGATCACAGATAATAAAATTGTGGTAACCTCAAAGCCTAAATAACCATGTAAATGGGTTCTCTGTTCTTTGAGACAGATGGTGAATCTCAACAGAGATGGGTTATGAATTCCAAAAAGATTGTCCTCCAGGATATAACAAAAAATAAATGGAGAAGTAGATTTAAAATATAGTTGAAGTGGAACCAAAATAGAAAAATCACATCAATTTTTAAGAAATTAAGAAGACAGAAACAGAGAACATACAGCTTGTATTAGAACTACTCTGGGAAGAAAATCATTTTGAATTGAAGTATTATGCATATGTTAACAGAAGGAAGTTGGAATGTATTTCAACAAGATGAATAACATTATCTGCTTCATTATGTGTCATGTCCAAAATTGTAGGAAACTGTAGCCTACAATGTCTATCAACCACCTTATCACTTCCTGCTGGCCCAGAGGTATGTCCACCAACCCTAGTCATTGTTGGGAGCTCTTAATCTCCTGTTTCTAGATCTTAGCTGAATAATATGAGAGTGAATTAGGAACTATTATGGAAGATAATTAGGTCTAATTAAGGACATCTTGCATGTCAGTAGGACTCAAATGAACCCAGATTAAAATATAGACCACCTTATCTAGGTAAGGATCAACAGTCATGATCTATCAAAAAGCCAATATGAGGGTGCCTGGGAGGCTCAGTACATTGGGCGACTGCCTTCAGCTTGGGTCATGATCTCAGGGTCCTGGGATGGAGCCCCTCCTGCTCGGCAGGAGGCCTGCTTCTCCCTCTCCCACTCCCCCTGCTTGTGTTCCCTCTCTTGCTGTCTCTCTCTCTCTCTCTGTCAAATAAATAAATAAATCTTTTTTTAAAAAGCCAATAATAAATGTTCAGAAAGGCATGGGCATATATGGCTTAGCAAAAAAATCAGGAGTACAAATTTCAACACTGAATCCTTTGATATATATTCTCAGGCCATTTGGCTATATTATATGTATCTGTACACACACACACACACACACACACACACACACACACATACACACATATCACTTGCTCCTTCATACATTCCCAGCCTCATCTCCCACCACTTTTTCCCCTCTTTCTCTGCATTTCAGCTCAACCAGGCTTCTCTCAGAATGTGTCATTCTCTTTCCTCAGAGCTTTCACACCTGCTCCTCCCTCTGCCTCGGCGCTTCTCCCTGTTAACCAGGGTAATGCCTTTTCAGGCTTCAAGTCTCCTTAAAATGTTATTTCCCCTAATACAGCTTCACAGAAGCTTGCAGCTTTTCTTCAATATGTTAATCCCAGTCGTGATTAATTGTAATGTCTGTCTTGGGTAAATGACAAACTCCAAAAGAAGAGGGAACCTATCTTTTTATCACCAACTGTATTCCTAATGCCTAGTACAGTACCTGGCTCATACGAATGGCTCAGTGAAGGTTAGTTAGTTGGGGGTGAATGAAAGACAAATGGAAGATTCTTTGGGTGAGTAGGGTGTTATCTGGCCACTTCAAAAATCCTGCTGCTACATATGCAGAGATGCCTTGGGATACAAAAGGAAGGCTTCTTTTGGGTACATTATTGCTTTGCTTCATTTACCTTCATTTACCTCCTATATCCAAATGCAAACCTCAAGGCTTTCCTTGTGGATACTTTGATGACCAAGGAAAGTAAGAAATGCCTAGAATTTGGGAGTAGATAAGAACTAGAAGATGTCTCTTCTAGTCTGCCTGGAGAGGGCAAGTGACTGACTCCATAAATCTTTGTGTGCAATGGAGACCTCAGGCACCATGGCAGAAATAGATCACCCCCAACACACAGACTATCACCAAGTGGCAGATGACAGAAGGTCTTCATGAGACCTGGAGTGATTTCATGGAGACCTCAAGCGTATTTTAATCTACATCAATATAAGGTTTGTTGATTATTATAACTAGTGCAGTGTGGTCATAGTACTTAAGAGAGGAGCCCCTGCTCTTAGGAATAGGACAATTTCAAGAAAGGCCATCAAAGTAAGTCTTGACCAGTGGAAGTTCTGAGTAACACCTAGATAGATCTAAGAGAGAAAGTGCTACTATGGTCAAGATGTATTGCTGATATGCAGTGTGTTACACATTATAAAAGACTAGTTCACTGAGCCCTAACTCCTTGTAAACAGACCTATCAGACAGTTCTGCCCAAAACTGCATTTCTGAGTTGGTACAGTATTAACATTCATGCATGCTTTCACTTTTGTTAGATAGACCACCAATAAATTTGAAAAATATTACACCTTCATCCCCTTCATGGAGAGTCACAATGTGCATAGCATATTGATGGGAAGTTCTTCGCTAAAGAAGTCTTCAACTCATATGACCATGAAAACCTGTTTTTCAGAAGACATTTATGTGTCAATAAGGATAGTCTTAGTAAAGCTAAACAATCTCTAAGTGGCTTAAAATAACAAGGTTTACTTCCAGCTCATGCTACATATCTATCTTGGTTGACGAGATCCTGTGCCATGTGAGCCTCACTCTGGGATCCAAGGTGTTTGGAAAAACAAGGTGCATTCTTCCTGGTACAGACTCTCCTTTCCAATGTCACCAACAGTCACCACCCAAGCATTTCTGGTTGGTCTAGCAGAGAGGAGATAAGCTCTGGATGTTTTCACAGTGAAATGTTCTAGTCTGAAAGTGACACTTGGAATTTTGTCTCACAACTTATTGGTCAGAACTAGTTACGTGGCCCCCACCCAACCATATGCCTGGAGAGTAGACAGAAATATTCAGTGAACAGCACTGAACTAAACCTGTTAACCTGACTGAACATTATTAGTCATTGAAATATAGTTAGAAACCACTGCTATTCATGGTTCTAAAAATAAGGATAATAATAACCATTCAAGAATGTTCAGCACCTATGCCATATTTAATCAGGAATAAGAAATAAGGAAGGCTGACTTTTTTTTTTCACACTTATCTAGGAAGAAAAGGGGTGTCACCAAAATACCACAATTATTTTGGACGATTTTATTAAAACAATTTCTTTTCACTTTGAAGTCTCTAGTGGAATTCCCACAATAGATAACATTTTCCAGCCAATTCTCCATTGCTTCTCTCAAATACAAATAGAAAATAGAAAGCATGGATAATTCCACAACACAGCCTATTTCTAGGCTACTAGAGGGACATATACAATAATGCCCATTTACAGTGTCTTCTTCACAGATGGGCAGAGTTAATGCTGTCATCAGGTAAATCTTGTAATAAGAGCAACAAAGTTGGCATAGAATTCATCTATAAAAAAATTAAGTGTATTTTGTGCTACTACCATAACCTCTGAAAATTAATTTCTGATAAGTCTACCAAATCAAACTGTCTAGTGCCTTGGTATCTTGCATGATAGTTGGCCATAACTCTATCACATAATGACACAGCACAAAATGACAGTGATGACGTTCAGAAATAAATAATGGCTTTGAGATGTTATTACCTGTATACCAAGCACAATGAAGGTTATCAGTGGACACTCAAAAGTCCTTAATTTATTTTTTCTGTGAGAAATACAAGGCATGTTAAATTTATATCATTTACTCAGCCATCTCCAAGTTCCACCCCAGTTCCTCCTCACAGATTTCTTATATACAATCTTAGTTACATTACCTAAAATAATGTAAAATGCTTTGAGGGATGCTTGGCACATAGCAGTTACCAAGTGTTGGTTGTTGTTGTTGCTGTTATTATTATTATTTCATGTCTTACGAATGATTCTTTGTATGTCACATGCCCTGCAGAAATTCTCAATTATGATTTGCTTTAGTTGTTCAACTCAGTGCTCCCAGAAGGGAGAAAGTCTAATATGCAAGGCATCTTCTATATTACATTTTTCTTATTTGGGACAAAACAGGCACATCACCTTAGAAGTGATTGAACTGATCAAAAATGTGTTTAGAATATTATGTGTGTGTGTGTGTACCTCTAGGTAAATGTTACCAAGTAATTATCTGACATGGCAAATGTTGAGAACAAATTAACTTTTGATAACTCCATCACAAAGATACACTAACTAAAACAGCCCCTTCTCATATTATATTACCTTCAGACTGTGGGAAATCATTTGCAATATTATTAAAGTATTTCACCATATATTTTATTTTTATAGTAATGAATCTAATATGCTCTACTCTCCTTTGGTTTCTTATATATCATCCATATATCATTCATTCCATTCACTTAAAGCATCATCTTCATTTCCAGGTATTTCTGTTGGTGATTGGTCAAGAGAAGTTGAATCTTTGTATCTCGTTGAACTCAGCTCAGACTGTATCTCAGCTGTTGAAGCTTTTTCTCCCCAGAAAGACTTGACTGCACCCCTGGAGAAAAAGCAAAAACAAAACAAAAATCCATTAAGAACTGAAAACCAAAACTAAGTAGATGTATATAATTTTCTATAATTAGAAGTGCCTCCTTAGTCACAATTTATTTTTAGTTTGTGGTGCATCCACTGCATTTATGATAGTAGACGAGTCCTCAGACTGTACCAGGGGTGTAAACTCATGTAAGTATTAGAAATATTCTTTAAAAAAATGAATTAGAGTAGGTTACACTAACCAAGTTTTAGAGTTGTGAGAACTACAACTGAACAAAACACATATTCATTCAAAACACTCTTTTATTTTTTATCAATTACTATGTAAGATTATAAAAATTGTACTTAAATCTCTCTCGTGGTGAGAAGCAAGTCATGAGCTCAGGTAACCTGAAGTAGAATAGTTGCAGGAGGTATATAGGGTTTTGGATTGTTACAAGACACATGTGGGATGTGTCATGGGCAGGGCTTTGGGTTCATCAAACAAGTGGGGGGGACAACAAGGAGGACATCAAGCAAGGGTGATGACTCAGTTCAGCCCTTCACCTACCAGTTTATAATTATGAAGATCAGTATAAAGATCACGAATATACAGATAATAACTCCTATGGTCAGCACAAAAACTAGGACTGCATCAGTGTCTGGTCGGTTTGATCTTTTCATTTGCAGTTCTAGAGAAAAAACACACACCTGATGATTATTACTACTGGAAAAAAAAAAGAGAGAGATATCTAAATCGAAATTTTATATCTAAAAAATAACTCTAAAAAAAACACAGAAAGAATTAGTGGAAAGAAAGTTATTAGTAAACTTGCTCATCACCTTTGAAACGTCCTTTTCAAACATGCAGAAAAGTTGAAAGGATTTAACAATGAACATCCTGTACACCCACCACCCAGATACTACCATCAACATTTTACTATCCATTTATCCATCCTTCTACAAATTCATTGATTCATCTTATTTTTTCAATGCATCTCAACATAATTTGTTAATGTCTGCATACTTCCCATAAAAATCTTCAACAGGCATATCAAACAAGTTCAATACTTGTTTATATTTTTTCTCTCGAGGTAAAATTTACGATAAATTGCACAAAGATTTTAAATGTACATTTATTACATTTATTTAGTTTTGGCAAATGCAAACACACATATATAATTCAAACCCTATGAAGACACAGAATATTGCTATACCTCATCAACTCCCTTGAGCCCTTCCCAATTAATTCCTGACCCATCCTCCAGAGGCAACTACTCTACTGATTTTCTTTTCCACCACAGATTAGTTTTGCCTATTTTAGAACTTTATAGGAATGGAAACATACACTATGTGTTCCTTCATGTAAGGCTTTTTTACTCAGCCTGTTTTAAAGATTGACCCATACTGTTGCATTTATCAATAGTTTTTCTTTTTTATTGATGATTAGCATTCCAATTTGTTTATTCATTCTTCTATTGACGGACATCTAGGCTGTTGCAGCTTTAAGCTATTATAAATAAACTACTATGAATATTTTTATGCAAGTCATCTGCAAACATACATTTTCACTTCTCTTGGATAAATACCTAAGAGTGGAACTGCTGGATCATAGGGTAGAGGTATACTTCAGTTTTCCAAGAAACTGTAAGATCTTTGCCCAAACTGATTGTACTGGTTATACTATATGTTTTGTGAATTTTTTTCTCTCTGGTTTTGGCTTGCCTTCTCATTTTTCTAATGATTTATTTTAATGAGCTAAAGTTTTTAATTTTGATGAAGCTTATTTATCAATGTTCCCTTTTATGGTGATTGTTTTCTGAGTCATAACTAAGAAACCCTGCCTATTCCAGTATCATGCAGATTTTCTCCTAATTTAAAGCTTTATGGTTTCCATTTTAAAGCTTTATGGTTTTAGTTTTTATATTTAGGACTATGACATATCTCTAATTTCTATATATGTTGTAAGATAGGGTTTGAAGTTTATTTTTTATACAAATATCCACACAACACTTTTAAATCAGACATTCTCTCCCATATCTTTCTGCTCTTCCTGCAAATAAGGCTATTAAAGAGACAAGCCAGTCTACCATATGTATTATAACACTGCTACATTGTAAATTGGTGAAAAGCCAATTTACATCAAATATTACTTACTTTACTAACTATATAGCTTTCTTGTGGTTCTTCCCAGTCCCCCAAATCATAGGATCATAAAGAATTTGTGTGGAGAAGGACCAGGGAGATCTGTAGATGCAACTACTGAATTACACAGATAAGTAAACCAATGTTCATTAAACGGTTCAAACCATTTAATGATTTGTGCAAGCTGTTTTATATATTGTAATATTTTAATTTTGGTAAGTACCACTCTATCAGAAGTAGTTTCCTGTATGGGCAATCTCAACTGCTTGTCTGGATTTTTGTCCTAATCTTTACACCATGGGGTACAAGTTTTCATTTTCCTTAGTAATTCCAGTGCTATAAACTCAATTAGTGATCTCACTAAATAGTTCCAAGTGTGAGAGAGAAATCACATCATATTTATATTCCAACATTGTTGGATTTTTAAAAACTTTTTGTTTTTGATAATTTTAGATTTACAGAAGCAGTGAGATTTTTTAAGCTCAAATGAAAGACACCTTTCAGGATTAAAACCCAAGAAGAAGAAATGCAAAATTCCTTTCCATTTATTCACTACCCTGCAACACCAGCCAAGAGAGAATGAAGAGTGAGAGGTAGAAAGGTTTTACTTTATTTCAAGGGTAGTCTTCTTGCAAGGATCACTTTTATATCTAGATTACTTTTATATCTAAAAAAAATAGGCTGCATTTCCTATTGGAATTTCTTAATGAAAAATAGGCTGAATTTCAATGTTCTCACTTAAAAAAACTAAGCTTATGTTTGCATTCGTTTTCCAGGGCCATGATAACAGTACCACAAACTGGGTGAGTTAAAAACAACAGAAATTTATTGTCTCATAGTCCTAGACGCTAAAAATCTGAATGCAAGGTATTGATAAGGCCATGCTCACTCCAAAGGCTCTGGGGGTGGTCCTTCCTTTCTTCTTCCTACTTCTGGTGGCCCCAGATGTTCCCTGGCTTATGGCAATATAACTCTAATCTCTGCCTCTGTTTTCACATGTCTGTCTTCCCCCTGTGTGTCTTTGTGTCTTCATATGACATTCTCTTTTCTCTCATTCTGTATTTGTGTCCAAATTTCCCTCTTCTTATAAGGACACCAGTCATAGTGAATTAAAGGCCCACTCTATTCTAGTATGTATGACCTTGTCTTAGCTGAACAAATTACATCTGCAATGATCCTGTTTCCAAACACAGTCACATTCTGAGTTTCTGGGAGTTAAGACTTGAGAAGGGAGACACAATTCAATCCATAATAAAGCCTAACTATAAAGACAACTATTGTGGAAGTGAAAAATCTGATGTATAGGGGATGGTTGGGAAATTTTCATTAACTAAATCATATTTACCCTAAAGATATTTCAATTGTGTACTTGTTTCAAGCCAGTACCATATTGTGTTGACATTTATAGACAAAATATTTGTTTGATGTCCAAACAGCCAAAAGGGTCGTTCACAGTGGTATTCCCAATTGTCATTTTTAAAAGAAACTAATTGATACCAAAGTGTTCTAAAAACATTTTGTCATTTAAGCAGACCATGTACTGAGATGGCAGAGCTAACCCACCAGCCTTAGACTGCTACAAGAGAGAAGTCAACTTTGTCTCATTTAAGTATCATTAATGTCTAGCTTAGCTTTCACACTATCAAATGCATATTGACTTCTATGAAACAAACTGAGGGTTGCTGGAGTGGAGGGGGTGGTGGGAATGGGGTAAGTGGGTGATGGGCATTAAGGAGGGCTTGTGATGTGATGAGCACTGGTTGTTATATACAACTGATGCAACACTGAACACTACCTCTGAGACTAATAATATATGTTAATTAACTGAATTTAAATAAAATAAAATAAAATTTTTAAAAAAGACTTCTAATCACAGGAAGAGCTATGGTCCTAACAAAGACTAGGCTGTGGGAACAAAAACTGAGAATGGCCCCCAAAAACCTTTAATACCCTGAACTAGTACTCACTGAGATATTTTTTAGTTTGATGAGGTTTGGTCCTTTCTTGCCTTTTTTAGCACTTTATTGAAATTATCCTTTTAATAACACTTGATATCTCAACATAAGATTATTAGCTTTCACCATAAAGGTTTTTTTTTTAAAGACAGTAAAGACACTAAAGAAACTTAGAGTGTATTTTGAAAAGTCTTCCCTGAAACACTTTTGCTTATTTCCATTTTAATAGACAGTGTTATGCTGTATGGTATCTCTAAACTATAGCATAAATTCTTTACTTGGAGATTGAGAAAAGCTTCAAGAAATCCATGAATTCTCTTAAAATAGCAGGAAGCTTTTGGCCTGTTTATTTATGGGGGTATTTTTCTGAGAAAAGCTTCCTGAGTCTTGATTGGATTCTCAAAAGAACTTGTGACCAAACCCCCTCATACCCTCAACAACGACAACCATAATAAAATGGTTAAGAGCAAAATGAACAAAAAGAAATAACTATATATTAGACATCATAGTCTAAACTGAAAGGACATGAACATGGATCCATTTTGCAAGGGAAGCACAGTTTCTAACATGTAATATTATATTCAGGACAAGATTTGTCTTTTGTGACATATATTGAGGACTGCATTATTATTTCATCCAAAAATATTGTCTTCAAATGAATAATTTTTAAAGAGCCATGTTTTGACATATGTTTCTTAATTTTATTATTTTATTGTATCAAAACTTTTGTTAAGTATCTGTGAGGACTCCATGTATCCATTTTCACTTTTGTGATAGAAGTAAGAGAATTTAATTCAAGTTAGAGGACTGTTCTTTGGAGATGCTGCAGGAATGCACCAAGTTTCCCAAAGTGAAACACATCTGACTCTACTTTGTGAAAAAGAAATTAAGCACCACCTTGCAGAAAGTCTAAATGATATAAACCAGTGGTTTTCCAAAGGTTTTCTCTGAACCATCAACACCTGGGAACTTGTTAGAAACGCAAACTACTGTGTCAGCCCACCCTAGATTTACTAAATCAGAAACTCTGGGAGTGGGTCTATCAGTCTGTTTCAAGGAGCCCTCCACATGATTCTGATGCTTTTTAAAGTTTGATATAAGCAAACCAAAACATTACTGGGCACTTACCACTTGTTGTATAGACTGTGAATTTAATAGATGCTATTATTTCATTATTATCCAAGGTGGTACACTCAAAAGCCAAGGGATGAACTTCCCTGTGTACTTCCAGGATTGCTGAATCATTTGCAAGGATAATGGGTTGCTATTTAAAAAGGAAAAAAAAGTGCCAACATTCTTTATGTAAACTTAAGATCAGGAAACAATTTATTTCCCATAACAAAAGAACAGTCATTGTCTCTCAGTCTAGGATTTTTTAATTATGCACATGGATTTTAGAGTCAGACAGTCCAGACATCAAGTACTAACCCTACCACTTCTGCCTGTGTGACCCAGGACAAGGTACTCTCTGCTTCTCAGTTGCTTATCTGTAAAATGGGTATAATGATAAGGATTACCTCATGGATTGTTATGTGGGTTAAAAGAAACTGTGGTACTTGAGGTATGTCTGATATTTAATAAGCCCTCCATTAATGTTAGCTACTATTATCATCATACAATTCCTATACATACAAATGAAAACTTTGCTTCCAAAATAGAATACTTTATATAAAAGGGATGTTTTTAAGTTCTGATAATAGCTGACTCCAAGACATATGTAAAGTTTTAGCCCCACTTAATAATGCAATTGTTATTGCATTAAAATTCAATCAGACTAAAATCTCAATAATAACAAATAAGAATTTTAACTTCATTTTTGCAAACTGCTTCTAAAGAGAGGGTTTTCTGATAGCCATCAAGCACTAGGAAACATATTTTATCACTCACTAGAAAGCACCACGTTACATACGTTTATTACTTACTTGGTCTGGCCTTAGAAGTTTCCATATATATTTGAAACGATTTACAGGAGATGTATGAATACATGCCAGCCTAACACTTTCAAGACTTTCTGAAACTGGTCTACCCCCTAAAAAAAAGAAAAATTAAATACATATATACCATTAGGCATGATAAATTGCTTTACAAAAAAGCTACTTTTAAAAGCCACTTTTGGTTTTAAAATCAATTATATGCTGGAAGTTCTCAAAATTATTATTGAGGGTTTGAGTGTAGAAGAGCAGAGAGGAGTGATGGATGCAAAGTAAAGTCACCAAAAGAAGCAGGTGGGACATACCATAGCTGTGTGTTCCTTGCAGAATAAATAGCAAGGACAACCAATTTAGTGATCTATTAGATTAAACTTTGAGACCTGCTAGTGGCTTTCAATTTACTGGTTAGAGACCCCCCCCCACCCCAATAGTGTAATATGATATAGAACAGCTTTCAAAGTTCCCAATTTAAAGTTTGCCAATCTACTGATAAAATGTCATTACCAAAATTTTAAGAGTGTTTCACTATAGGAAAGCCACAGACCCTGAGTACAATAAGGTTCCAGTGTATTATGGAGAATATATGTTAAATTTTAGACATCACGGAAAAATGTAAAGCAAAGGCAGAAAGGTACTAGGAGCTATAACTGTCTAGAGAAGTGGAATTTTAAGTTTTATTGTAATTTCCTTTCAGTATATCAATTGATCAATTCCTTCCACCCATGGCAACCTGAGGTTAAGGCTATTTCCACAGAGTAAACTCTTCCCCTCCATCTCCCTCCAATGCAGAGTCCAACTCACAGCCACAATCTACTGGTCCACGGCATTCTTCCACCCGTACAATACACTTGGATTCACCTCCAGGGCATCCATTTGTTAGTATAACTTCTCTAATACCAACACCTTTGGTAAAAGAAATCAGCAAATGTTAAGAAAAATTCATTCCTCTTTCTTTACTTTTCCATCTAGGTCTTTTTTGAGACTTTTCTCTTCATTTCAGAAGTTAAATTCCTAAATTCAGAGTGACAATGCTTAGAATATTTTTATGTCCCTCATTTTGAATTATTTCATAAAACAGCATTTCCCAAAGTGAGTTACATGAAACACTGGTTCCTCTAGTTGTTACCATAAGAAAAAGGAATCCAAAATTATACACATTTGAAAATGATACATTAAATAAAATCAAAGTGTCCTCTTTATTACAGAATTTTGGGGGAACTTTTTTTTAATATGCTAGTAAATTAATGAGCTATTGTGTGTAAAGTTTCATAGATCTAAGATGTAAAATTTTTACATTTTAACATCTTTGAAATCAGAAATCAGAATTTATCTTAGAATTGACAGCATGTGACAAATTGGCAGCATTTTTCTTTTTTAGAGGTGCATAAAATATGCTTCTCATAGCTGACAAAAGTCTTAGATTTGACAAAATATAGTAGGACACAGGGTCTCCCAAATTTGTCTGGACAAAGAAGTTTTAGAAGTGGTTTTGGAGTTCTGGAGGACATTCCAAAAATCACATTTTAAAACATAAATGATGCTTTTTAATATTTAGATTAGTAAAGTCTCTCTATTAAATATGAGGACAAACTATTAATGACCAAATCTCAATTTCTAACAGGACACTCTCTTGAGAATTACCACACTTTTTTTACAACAAGAAATTAAGTCTTTATTAACAGATCTCAGATCTCCATTAGGTTTGCTTTTCATTACCAGAATTGAGGAACATGATAAAATGTTCTATCATGCAAAACACATCCTATGTTAAGTGACCTGTGATAAGACAGTGTAGCTACAGGCTAAGGAAAAGTCCATCTTGATTTCCTTGTCTACCAGATTCCCTCTTTCAGCCCCTAAAGGTGTTAATTATAACCCATTCTCAAGGGCAAGGGAGAGTTGAAGTCTAGAGATGACTTACAACAGTGCTTCTCAAACTTTAGAGTGCATGCAATCACCTCGAAATCTTATTAACAGGCAAATTCTGATTCAGTAGGTCTGGAGTAGGTTCTGAGATTCTGCATTTCTAACAAGTTCCCAGGCGATGCTGATGCAGCTGGTCTGTGGACCAAATTTTGAGTAGCAAGGGAGAGGACTCTACATGAGATAAGGAAATGAAAGGTTGGAAGAGGAAAGATCTCTTTTATTTTTAATTTTTCAATTTTAATTCCAGTATAGTTAACATACAGTGTTATATTAGCTTCAAGTGTACAATATATTGATTCAACAATTCTATACATTACTCAGTGCTCATCATAAGTGTATTCTTTGAGAAAAGATCTCTTTTGATTAAAAGAGATGCCTAAGAATGCCTACAGTATAGCTCCACTGGAATTTATAAAAGGTACCTCTCTAGATGCACAGCCTTATTCTGAAATGCATAAATATTTTCCAAGCAAGTTTATTTATGAATTTATTTAGCCAAATACAGTTCATTGCGATGATGTGTGTAGGTGTGAGATTTTCTGTAAGTCCAAGTAACACTAGAAATCTGCCTGGGTATTCCAGAAAAGAAAACTTTTTGACTGCTAAAATATTGTTTTCAGAGTTCAATAGAATTTTCACCAAAATGCTTTTTGTTGCTCTACTTGTTATAAACTGAAAATATTTTTTTAAATTTTTTTTATTGAGCTCAGAAGTACTTTATTATAAGGTTGTGATCATCTTTTTTTTTTTTAAAGGTTTTTTATTTATTTATTTGACAGAGAAAGAGAGAGTGCACAAGTAGGCAGAGAGGCAGGCAGAGAGGCAGGCAGGGAGGCAGGCAGAGGGAGAGGGAGAAGCAGGCTCTCCACTGAGCAGGGAACCTGATGTGGGGCTCGATCCTAGGACTCCAGGATCATGACCTGAGCCGAAGGCAGCCACCCAACCGACTGAGCCAACCAGGCGCCCCTAAACTGAAAATATTTTTAAATATTTTAAAATATTTTAGATGTAAAATGCTGGCTTTTAAGGTATCTTTCTCCTTAGAATTTATCACCATCTGACATATTACATGTTTTTAATATTATTATTTTTTGTTTTTTTATATTATGTTCAGTTACATATACTACATCATTAGTTTTTGAGGTAGTGTTCCACAATTCATTAGTTGTGGATAACGCCCACTGCTCATCACAACACATGCCCTCCTTTTTTTTTTTTTTTTAATAATTTTTTTATTGTTAACCACCATACATTACATCATTAGTTTTTGATGCAGTGTTCCATGATTCATTGTTTGTGCATAACACCCAGTGCTCCACGCAGAATGTGCCCTCTTTAATACCCATCACCAGGCTAACCCATCCCCCGACCCCCCTCCCCTCTAGAACCCTCAGTTTGTTTTTCAGAGTCCATCGTCTCTAATGGTTCGTCTCCCACTCCGACTTACTCCCCATCATTCTTCCCCTCCTGCTATCTTCTTCTTCTTCTTTTTTTCTTAACATATATTGCATTATTTGTTTCAGAAGTACAGATCCGTGATTCCTCAGTCTTGTACAATTCACAGTGCTCACCATAGCACATACCCTGCCTGATGTCTATCACCCAGCCACCCAATCCCTCCCACCCCCCACCACTCCAGCAACCCTCAGTTTGTTTCCTGAGATTAAGAATTCCTCATATCAGTGAGGTCATATGATACATGTCTTTCTCTGACTGACTTATTTCACTCAGCATAACCCCCTCCAGTTCCATCCACGTCGTTGCAAATGGCAAGATCTCATTCCTTTTGATGGCTGCATAATATTCCATTGTGTATATATACCACCTCTTCTTTATCCATTCGTCTGTCGATGGACATCTTGGCTCTTTCCACAGTTTGGCTATTGTGGACATTGCTGCTATAAACATTGGGGTGCACGTGCCCCTTCGGATCCCTACATTTGTATCTTTGGGGTAAATACCCAGTAGTGCAATTGCTGGATCGTATGGTAGCTCTATTTTCAACTGTTTGAGGAACCTCCATACTGTTTTCCAGAGGGGTTGCACCAGCTTGCATTCCCACCAACAGTGTAGGAGGGTTCCCCTTTCTCCGCATCCCCGCCAACATCTGTTGTTTCCTGACTTGTTAATTTTCACCATTCTGACTGGTGTGAGGTGGTATCTCATTGAGGTTTTGATTTGGATTTCCCTGATGCCGAGCGATGTTGAGCACTTTTTCATGTGTCTGTTGGCCATTTGGATGTCTTCTTTGGAAAAATGTCTGTTCATGTCTTCTGCCCATTTCTTGATTGGATTATTTGTTCTTTGGGTGTTGAGTTTGATAAGTTCTTTATAGATTTTGGATACTAGCCCTTTATCTGATATGTCATTTGCAAATATTTTCTCCCATTCTGTCGGTTGTCTTTTGGTTTTGTGGACTGTTTCTTTTGCTGTGCAAAAGCTTTTTATCTTGATGAAATCCCAATAGTTCATTTTTGCCCTGGCTTCCCTTGCCTTTGGTGATGTTTCTAGGAAGAAATTGCTGCGGCTGTGGTCGAAGAGGTTGCTGCCTGTGTTCTCCTTTAGGATTTTGATGGACTCCTGTCTCACGTTTAGGTCTTTCAACCATTTGGAGTCTATTTTTGTGTGTGGTGTAAGGAAATGGTCCAGTTTCATTCTTCTGCAAACACATGCCCTCCTTAATACCCACCACCCAGTTACCCCACCCCTCTACCCCCCGTCCCTTCTGTAACCCTCAGTTTGTTTCCCAGAGTCAAGAGTCTCTCATAGTTTGTCTCCCTCTCTGATTTCTTCCCATTCAGTTTTCCCTCCCTTCCCCTGTGGTCCTCTATGCTATTCCTTATGTTCCACATATGAGTGAAATCATATGATAATTGTCTTTCTCTGCTTGACTTATTTCACTTAGCATAATCCCCTCCAGTTCCCTCCATGTCGATGCAAATAGTAGGTATTCATCCTTTCTGATGGCTGAGTAATATTCCATTGTATATACAAACCACATCTTCTTTATCCATTCATCTATTGAAGGACATCTTGGCTCCTTCCACAGTTTGGCTATTGTGGACATTGCTGCTATGAACACTGGGGTGCATGTGCCCCTTCTTTTCACTAATCTGTATCTTTGGAGTAAATATCCAGTAGTATAATTTCTGGGTCATAGGCTAGCTCTATACTTCTTGAGGAACCACCACACTGTTTTCCAAAATGGCTGTATCAACTTGTATTCCCACCAACAGTGTAAGAGTGTTCCCCTTTCTCCACATCCTCAGCATCATTTGTTGTTCCCTGTCTGGTTAATTTTAGCCATTCTAACTGGTGTAAGGTGGTATCTCATTGTGGTTTTGATTTGTATTTCCCTGATGGCTAGTGATGTTGAACATTTTTTCATGTGTCTCTTAGCCATTTGTACGTCTTCTTTGGAGAAGTGTCTGTTCATGTCTTCTGCCCATTTCTTGACTAGATTATCTGTTTTTTGGGTGTTTAGTTTGAGAAGTTCTTTATAGATCTTGGATACCAGCCCTTTATCTGAAATGTCATTTGCAAAAATCTTCTCCCATTCCATGGGTTGCCTCTTAGTTTTGTTGACTGTTTCCTTTGCTGTGCAGAAGCTTTTTACCTTGATGAAGTCCCAAAAGTTCATTTTTGTTGTTTCCCTTGCCTTTGGAGACGTGTCTTGAAAGAAGTCACTGTGGCCAATGTCAAAGAGGTTACTGCCTATGTTCTCCTCTAGGATTTTGATGGATTCCTGTTTCACAGTGAGGTCTTTCATCTATTTAGAGTTTATCTTTGCATATGGTGTAAGAGAATGGTCCAGTTTCATTCTTCTGCATGTAGCTGTCCAGTTTTCCCAGCACCATTTATTGACGAGACTGTCTTTTTTCCATTGGATATTCTTTCCTGCTTTGTCGAAGATCAGTTGACCATAGAGTTGAGGGTCCATTTCTGGGCTCTCTTTTCTTTTCCATTGATCTATATGTCTGTGTGTGTGCCAATACCATGCTGTCTTAATGATTATTGCCTTGTAATATAGCTTGAAGTCAGGCATTGCGATCCCCCAGCTTTGGTTTTCTTTTTCAACAATCCCTTGGCAATTCGAGGTCTTTTCTGGTTCCACACAAACTTTAGGATTGTTTGTCCCAGCTTTGTGAAAAATGTTCGTGGTATTTTGATAGGGATTGCACTGAAAGTGTAGATTGCTCTGGGCAGCATAGACATTTTAACAATGTTTATTCTTCCAATCCATGAGCATGGAATGTTTTTCCATCTCTTTGTGTCTTCCTCCATTTCTTTCATAAGTGTTCTGTAGTTTCTAGAGTATAGATCCTTTACCTCTTTGGTTACATTTATTCCTAGGTATCTTATGGTTTTTGGCACTATTGTAAATGGACTCGGTTCCTTAATTTCTCTTTCTTCGGTTACATTGTTAGTGTATAGAAATGCAACTGATTTCTGTGTATTGATTTTGTATTCTGCCACATTGCCGAATTGCTGTACAAGTTCTAGTAACTTGGGGGTGGAGTCTTTTGGGTTTTTCACATAGATTATTATGTCATCTGTGAAGAGAGAGTTTGACTTCTTCTTTGCCAATTTGAATGCCTTTTATTTCTTTATTGTTGTCTGATTGCTGAGGCTAGGACTTCTAGTACTAAGTTGAACAATAGTGGTGAGAGTAGACATCTCTATCATGTTCCTGACCTTAAGGGAAAAGCTCTGTTTTTCCCCATTGAGAATGATATTCACCATGGGCTCTTCATAGATGGCTTTTATGATATTGAAGTATGTTCCCTCTATCCCTATACTTTGAAGAGTTTTAATCAGGAAAGGATGCTGTATTTTGTCAAATGCTTTTTCTGCATCAATTGAGAGGATCATACGGTTCTTGTCTTTTTTATTAATGTGTTCTATCACGTTGATTGATTTCCGAATGTTGAACCACCCTTGCATCCCAGGAATAAATCCCACCTGGTCATGGTGAATAATCCTTTTTGGAAGGAACTCAAATACTTGGAAGTTAAAGAGCATCTTGCTAAAGAATGATTGGGTCAACTGGGAAATTAAAGAAGAACTTAAACAATTCATGGAAACTAATGAGAGTTAAAACACATCGGTCCAAAACCTATGGGATACTGTAAAGGCGGTCCTAAGGGGGATATACATAGCCATCCAAGCGTCTCTCAAAAAAAGTAGAAAAATCCCAAATGCACAAGCTAACCTTACACCTAAAGGACTGGAGAAAGAACAGCAAATAAAGCCTAAACCCAGCAGGAGAAGAGAAATAATAAAAATTAGAGCAGAAATCAACAAAATATAAACCAGAAAAACAGTAGAACAGATCAACGAAACTAGAAGCTGGTTCTTTGAAAGAATTAATAAGATTGATAAACCTCTGGCCAGACTTATCCAAAAGAAAAGGGAAAGGACCCAAATTAATAAAATCATGAATGAAAGGGGAGAGATCATGACTAACACCAAGAAATAAAAACAATTATTAGAAATTATTACCAGCAACTATAAGCCAACAAATTAAGCAATCTAGAAGAAATGGATGCATTCCTGGAAATTTATAAACTACCAAGACTGAAGGAGGAAGAAATAGACAATCTGAACAGACCAATAACCAGCAAGGAAATTGAAGTAGTAATCAAAAACCTCCCAAAAAACAAGAGTCCAGGGCCAGATGGCTTCCCAGGGGAATTCTACCAAACATTTAAAGAAGAAATAACACCTATTCTACTGAAGCTGTTTCAAAAAATAGAAATAGAAGGAAAACTTCCAAACTCGTTCTATGAGGCCAGCTTTATTATTATTTTTGTCTTTTCCCCTATATAAACTCCTTGAAGGCAAGGGGTTTCCTCTGCTTCGTTCTAGCACTTATAACAATGACTGACACACAGTAGGCAAAATTCAAAAAATCATTTGATGAATGAATATGTAATTTCTGAAACACATCTTTAAATAATAGAGTAATACAACAAAAATTACTAGAATTGCCATAAAAATAATTCTCTACCTGTGAAACTTCTCAAGGCAGCAAAAGAAAGATGTAAATTACAAATGAATATTCACAAGTTTATTACATGTATTCCTCTACTTTGTGACTCTGACCCACTAAGAAGTTAAAGTAAAAAATGGGCTTAAAATTATCTTAAGGGACAGAAAGTAGAATAGTGACTGTCAAGGGCTGGTGGGGAGGGGTGAGCAGAGAGTTAGTGTTTAATGGGCATGGAGGTTTCACTTCAGGATAATGAAAAAGTTCTGGAGATGAATGGTGGTAATGGTCGGACAACAATCTGAACGTGTTTAATGTCACTGAGTTGTACATTTAAAAACGGATAAAAAAGTAAATCTTATGTTAGGTTTATTTTGCCACAATAAAAATATGTTAAGTCAAATATAAATAATTCAGGTGTAATTTTTTTTAAAAAAATCATTCTGCTCTAGGTCTGCATGGATTTTCTGTCTTCTTACCATTTGGCTTTTGTCTTTCCCTCCCTTTACTATCCTTTTTCCAAGGCAGTTCTATTTAGAATAAACTTAATTTCATTGTGAATTATCTATTGTCTTCTCAGTATGCTAGTGTATAGCGGTTCTCAAAGTGGTTGTCAAAAGATGGTCTTCTAACCAGCAGCATCAGCTTTATTTGTGAACTTGTTTAGAAATACACATTCTTCGGCTCCTGCAAAGACCTAGTGAGTTAGTAACTCTGGGCTAGGTCAAGCAGTCTGTGTTTTAACAAGCCCTGCAGGCACTCAGGGTGAACACTTAAGTTTGAGAAACACTGGTCTATTTATAGTATGTGTAGCCTTAATCCCACCATGTAAGAGATTTTATGTCCAATTTCTATTCATGGAATTATAGAAGGAAGTCATAGTTTTGAATATTATCTTCCCCCCAAAGCTAATACCTCTTTTCTCCAAGACATAACATATGAATTGGAGAAATGTAGAATTTAGACTAGACTATTACAAATAGGCAAATTTCTTGATTTGCCACACAGTGTGTGGGAAGACATCTGCTGAGATGCATTGGAAGATCTTTCATCTTCTGAACATCTGTGAGATAAAGTTTTACTTGGTGAAGGCAATTTATGCCAAAAAAAATATAGGGAGCTGGCTTAAAATAAGACTTAGAGGTTATGAACTGAAAATATCTTATCTTTTGAGTTTTGTGTGTAAATTATAGTTTGAGAGATAAATGGAAGTACACAAATTACAAATAAAAATTGCCAGTTTTTACCTTCCCTTCCCCCCAAAATACAACAACAACATTGTTGATTTGTCTGCTCTATGCTACTTACCACATGTAACGGTGCACATCCCAAATTCTACTTCTTTGACTACTGTCGTATTTGAAACTAAACATAAAGTGCAAAGATACATTATTTAATCATATGAAAACTTCATAGGAAAACTCTTACTTGAGGATGAGGGATACAAGCACTTATTATATGAGAAGCAGATAATTTTTAAGTTTTATTAAATCAGAAAAGCAATGTCATTCCTAGTACATCTTCTATTATTGCTTAAATCAAAAGAATCCTAAACCTTTAAAGTAATGAATTAAATTAGGACATACCTTGCAAAGGTCTATATTTAAGCTTTTATATAAACTAAAAATATTTTTTTTTATCAGCTCAGTACAAGGTGAGTTAAAGTCCTATAGGTGAGAAAAAAAAAGAAACAAAAGCTTGCCAATTATGAGGCCCAATTTTTCTATTCTCTATTTTTCAAAAAAATTTGAGTGTATCATTTCCATCTAAAAATAAGTCTTCATACCAAATGTTCATTAAAATTATGTTGTAGAATGGTTCTATACATTCTAAGGCTAAGATGATAAATTATTTCTAAGAACTTATTTCAACACTTTATTTAGCAGGATAATTTAGGAATATACATGTATTTGAGTAAATATTAGTGATTTTAAACCACGTTTCTCTGTTTCTAATTGTTCTGAAGTTTGGCATTATTTCCACCAGCTATAGGATATAACCAATTCTTCATAGCAGATTAGGACTAATATCTCAATATAAAAAAATATGACATGAGGTGTTAGAATTATTTTTTTTAAGCATTGTATACTAAACTGACAATATTACATGGAAAAGTGCAGTGGAACTGGAATCCAAATTGCTGCTTCTACAACTAATCAGCTGAGTTTGAGCAAATCACATAAACTCTGTTAGGCCTAGTTAGCTCTTCTGCAAAAATTTGGAAGGGAGAACGTATCTTATTTGATTAAGAATTAAATGAGAGTATTTGCAAGAATTAAATGAGAATATATGTGAAAACATTCTGTAACTTAGTTCTATAAACATGCTTAAGAAATCATAACTTCATTCACACTCAGTGCACATCACATTTTTTTCCTATTCTGATTACTGTAAGACAATACCTTCATAAACACTGCTATTCTATACTTACAAGCACCAAATACAGTTCTCTGAATACATAGTATGCTCTTGATATATATATGTTAAGTAAATCAATATTAATTTTGTTAAATTATTTGGACTATCATGATCAATTTTGAATTGACATTTTTGCTTGAAATGCCTGCATACTTTCTGCTGGCACATTATGAGATATAAATTAAAAGCCAAATCTTAAACATGGAAACACAGGTAGGAGAATGAGTTAACACTTTTAGACTTTTAAATATAACCTCTTTTCAAAAACCATTAAAAAACTATTAGTCAATTAATCAATCAGCCCTACTATTCACTACCTATGCTACTTTGAGAAAGTTACTTAAGTTCTCCTAACTTCAGAAAAAGGTTGGATTTAATAAGATGATCTCTAAAGTCCCTTTTGGCTTTGAGTGCCCACTAGATCAACCAATTGGACTTCCATTTTTGCTGGGAATCCTATAATGGTGGGTCAGAGAAATTACATGTATCCAGACTTCAGTGTTGTATTTGTCAAAATTTCCTGTTATATACCTGAGTAAAAAGGAACAATATGGTCTGAATGTCAGTAAACTTTTATGTGTAACTCATTAAACAGTAATATCCACTGATGCTAACTAATTGATTGGTGTCAATGTGTAAGGAATGATGTGTCACAGGACTCTGTCCTGTTTATTATTTTTATTAAGGACCTGGAAAATATTGGTATCATGCTGAGTTCAGAGATTCTGAAAAACTAGGAAGGACAGCAAATATGTTTGAAGATAAATCTGGCTCTAAAAATGCCACGATGGAATACTATGCAAGCCTAACAAAATGAAACCTTAGAGAAATAAGCCTTGCATGTAGAGCTGAAAAGTAACTGTCCCCAAAATATGATAGGCTGTCTTAATTTGATAGAACAGGTGAAAATGAGTGGATATTTCAATAATAATTTTAATAGGAGTCAAGACTGTGATGAGGCCACCCTAAAAATCTACTTGGTTTTAGACTTTACTGATAAAAGCCTGTAATCCACAATGATGCAGATAATGATCCTACTCTTTTTTGTTCTGGCCAGATCCTGGAATGTTCTCTTCAATTCTGGACAGCACACTTTAACTGTTGGTATATACCATCAGAGTCCAATTTTAATTTTTGAATTTCTTTTTTAAGAGCTGATATATAAGGTTGATTTTCATAACTTTTATTCTTAGAGGTGTTCCAAAGAAAAAGAGGAAATACAGTTTTATTTATATAGGGTAAAACTTATTTTAAAGAATGAAACTCATTCTATTTTGCAATTATTATGTAGGTCTATAAATGTAAGGTCCCTTTTATAAATGTAAGGATATAGGTATAGGATAACTATAAATCTAAGGGTCTAGGTATAGCTATACCCTTAGATTTATAAAAGGTATAAGCATATATAAAATGTATAAAAGGTATGGGGGAGTATAAGAGGTATGTCTATAAATCTAACATATTTTAGTAATTTTTCCTATATTTTTAAACATTTAAACATCCATAATGATGGATTTTATTACTTCTTATTGATTATTCCCAGCTATGTGTTTAAAAAAAAAGAGTAAGATAATAAATGGAAGAAAGTTTGGAAATCCCTAGAAGGATGATGAAATTGTAAAATAAATCATAGCTATTATATCATCCTTTGTTTTCTTATTTCTTTGCCCCAAGTATTGCATCGTCTTTCAGGAAGATATAAAAGAACTCTAGAGGCACCTTTCGGGTAGTCTATTTTCAGCTTGCATTGGACACAGTTGAGGTTTTTGAATTTCTTTCTTTTTTTTTTTTTTTTTGGTCCATTAAAGGTAAAGAGAAGAAAATTGACAGAGAAAAAATTTCACAATTGTTGGATGAATCAGAAGATGAACATAGACAGCAGCACCTCAGATGTTGATGATGGTGAAATTGATTGCATAAGGAAAATGAGAGATGGCGATAACTTAGATGAATATCCTAGATGAATTCTAACTCAAGAATCAATTAATACTACATTTCTAAGGATGAAAAGGATATATGGTATTCTCATCCAGTTAGTCTTTCAATAGGAAGGACTTGATCCTGAAATGTTTTTTGAAAAGAAGCTGGACCATACTGCTTTGCTAGAAGGATATGGACAACATTCTTTCCTTTTTAAAGCTGTTTATCCACCAAAATTTACCTAATTACAGATTTGTAAATGGACAGATCATGATGGCAGGTATGTATACAAAGGTGACTAAAAAGAAAATAGATGATGTAGAAATGAATAAAATTCACTGGACCAATCATTCTAAGTGGTGTTTATAAACCTAAAATGAAAACATTTTGCAATTAAGGAGCAAATAACAAGGTAGTGTTCACATCAACAAAATCTGCAGCTTCACAGTTTTCAAAAGTATTGTGTTTTGACAATGCACAAAGTAATAAACTAGAATCTATTAGAGATGTACTTGAAATCTGGAATCAGTGTTTATGACTGATACACTCCAGACTCATGCATAACAGTTAGTGAGCACTTGGTTACATTCAAAGTATCTTTCCCATTTGGGATATATACATCTTCAAAACCAGGAAATATGGAATAAAAGTTTGGAGTTTTCCATATTTACATTCTTATTAAAATTTCAAATTAGTTGTTTTCATTAACCCTTTATTCTTACTTTTGTAAATTACTTGTAAAATGCCTTAAAAGAAAAAAAAATGTCCATTGGATAGCAATTAGTGATGAATGTTTTTACCGGTCCATTGAGGGTTAAAAGGGGCTTTGCCAAATTTTAGTAACTCTGGAAATTTTCCAATCTTAGACCCCTCCAATTGTTTACAGTTCTGAATTCTCACTCTCCCCAGGAAAAAGCAACTATGTATGAAATCGTAGATTTAAAATTCAAAAAGGTACACAGACGCCCTAAAGTTCACAGATGAGGAAACTGAGACAGTGAGAGAATAAATAACTTGCCTACATTTTAATTTGTATCTAAGGCATTATAACTTCATTGCCTGGGTTTAGCTTAAACCGTAGCATTTTACAGGTAGAACTATCCCTTGAACAGTTTAATACTAAAATTAATTCAATTACTTTTAAAACTAGAGTGAAGCAACAGCTATTAAATTTTAGAACATGTTTTCTTGTCTAGTCTCTTTCACATTTCCAAAGTCAAGGACCTCTCCAAGCTCCCTGTAATGTAATGTTATGAAGGCAATGCAAACCTCCATCCCACCATTAACCTCAGATAGTTAATTTCTTTCCATCGCTGAAGGTCACTATCTGTCATCAGGAAATTAATGAAAGGCAGATAAATATAGCACCTATTCTATATGTATAGGAGACAGGAGATTGCCAAGGATATTAAAAGAATCTTGGCCAGGTCATTTATAGGGAAAGGGAATCATTCTTCCTTTAGATGGCTGCAAACCAGCAACTGGCCTTCTACCTCCCAGCATGAGAGTTACTAACCAATATAATATGTATAATAGCTTGTCAAGTTTTATTGCTTAATGAGCCAGCAGAATAAGGCAAATTTATGGACCAAGCACAGGCTCCTTCTCCCTTGGTTAACAGGTATCCAACAAAACCACTAGTTGGATCCCTTGATAGGTGTATTCTACTACCACCATTCCTCTGTGGATGGAAGTTGAATGTACAAATATTACACCACCAGGCTACAGAGGTGCTCAAGGGCAGAGCTGCATGAAGCTGACATGGGGCTTCTGGGCAGTTTTGTCAGCATTTCGGTTTAAGACGTGTCAGTGAGGGGAATTCTTAATTCTTCTGAGTTCCAACCTAAAGAGCAAATGTGGAAAGGAGGAAGACATCAAGCAATTTGGAACTTCAAAAACAAACAAACAAACAAACAAAACTACAACGGGAAAGAAAACACGTAACTGCAAGGAGTCAAAATAATTCCCATTGGTGAGAGGTTACTCCCCGACTCCTACCCCTTAAAAAAGGTGGGGAGAGGGCATCTTTTTCCTTGTCCGGAGCAATATTTAACAATAAATCTGTAACAACGTCTATGTACGTGCTTGTTTTTTTTGCTGTGGCCTTGGAGAATTAGCGCATTGTCTTCAAGGCCATTAGGCATATGAAAAAAGTATAAATTCGAGGCTGTTTGCAAGAGAGCTCTACAGATGTTAACAGGGATAATAATTCTCATTGTCCTCGCACGGAGGGCAGGGCTTTGCCCTCAACTGGCCCCCGTCGAGGGGCCTCCCGCCCTCACCATCCTCCTCAGGCACAGGCTGGGCTTCGTTCTCAGCCTCGCTCTCGCTGTCGGCCTCCTCGTCGCCCTCATTCTCGCTCTCGCTCTCGCCCTCGCCCTCACGGGCCAAGCCGGGATCCTGGGCGGCGGTGACGTTCGTCCCACACGCGGACTGGAGGCCAGCCAGGAGCAGCCAGCCGACCGTCAGCAGCAGCCCGTTGGAGCAGCCCGCACCCCCGGGGCTCATGGTTCTCGGCCCCGACGGCCGACTAAGGTGCAGTTGCAGCCGCCCGCTCCTGACAAGAGGTGCGTCGACGAGAAGAGCCGCCGGACTCCGAACCCCGGAGCCGCGCCCGGGCAACCATTGAGGCGTCACGGCTCGTCACGGGCGAGCAGAAGGCCACCCGGCCTCCCCATGCCATTGGAACGCGCGCAGGACCGCCGGTGGCGCCTCGTTCGGCACTTCCGACGGCGCTTGAGCCGCGCGGCTCGCTTTCCGGCGTTGCAGGTGCGCAGGCGGCGGCGGCGGCCGCGCGCATTTCCTCCGTTACTAAGCAACCCGCGAGCCATAGCCTCTGGCCTTTCTCTCTCGCCCTTCTCTCTTCTGAAAGACCTTCGTCCTTCCTACGTTTACTCCTCTCCAAACCATTTCCCTAGACCCTGAAGCACTCTTCGTGTGACTTGGTTTCAAATTCCTCGCACAGATTATCCGACTCGGCATGTATCCAGAAAGATTCGTCATAGCCTTATTAAATATGGTGCCCCAAACTAGATCCATAGCTGCAGGTGAGGCTTGATTTGCAGAGGATGTAGGAACGCGCTTTCTTTCTGGGATCTGAATCTTTTGTTAATAATACACCTGAGTGTGTATTTCTGTTTTAAGATTTTGTGCTGCGCCATCAATTCCGTGTGGGCTTTCTTTATGCTAGATTGGGGGATGGGGAGAGAGAGGAAGAGGGGGAGGGTGCAACTATTGTCAAGCTTTTTCTACTCTATTCCATATTTGGACAGCTGATATTTTTGGAACCAAACCTAGATCGTAACCTTTGTTCCTGTTAATTTCTGTCTTCTTGCTTTGTGCCTATTTTTTAAGCCTCATTGAGATTTTTTTTGAACTCTCATTCTGTTGTCTTATCGCAATAGATATTTCACCCAAGTCTGATTTGAAAAATATGTCTCTTTCAGGTCACTAACACAAATGTTAAAAAGGGTAACAGGCCAAGAATAAAGCGCTAAGAGGTGCTCTCTGACAATAATCCATTAATCCACACCTTGATTTAACCCAAGAATCAATTCTTTTACCAAAAAGAAATCTGTCTTTTACTAAGGTTGAATCAGACTAGAAGCAAGAATACCTTGGCATTGCTACTTGAATCAGAAAATCTTAGAGGTAGGTGTAATTTTCCTCTACTCTCTTAATGGTATTCAGTATCAATATGCCCAATTATATCATAGAAAGAAATGAAATCCCATTAAGTTCCTTCCATTGGTAGTGTTAATTTCAACAAGTCCGCTTTAATTAATGCAGGCTTCTTTAGGAATAGAAATATAGACTTTTTGAGTCAGAAGTTTAGAAATCATGTAATACTCCAATCCCCTCATTTTTAAGTGAGGAGATTAAGAATTGGCTCTCCAGTAAATAGCTCAAGTAAAATCATCCAGCAAATTATTTGTAAAGCAGGCTTTCACAACCACATCTCCTGAATGCTCATTCAGTGCTTAGTGATTCATATAATTTAAAGTTAACAATGAAGAAGCCTTCCATGGGGTAATTGAGAGTCAAGAGTTCAAGCGCTAAAAACAAATAAGGGTTGACATTTTTTTATCTTGTTATTCCAAGTTTGATTAGATTTAATAGCTACAATGTGGTAGTAAGAGAATATTGATGAATAGATGGTTCAGTAGTTTTATATGTAAAATTTGAAACAGAACTCATTTGGCTATTTTTCTGCATGATATTATCCCATACTTTGAGGTTTAATGTCAATTCCTATGGGACATGGACTGAAGCATAACCTACTGCAAAATGAACTTGAGGCATAAACTCTGGCTTTTGGAACATATGTATGTCCAGCCAAGGCAGACTAACAGATAAGCAAGTAACTGATAAAGGTGTTAGGAGCGTCTTATAAATAACTTCTTTTATTTATTTATTTAAGATTTTATTTATTTGACAGAGAGAGACACAGCGAGAGAGGGAACACAAGCAGGGGGAGTGGGAGAGGGAGAAGCAGGCTCTCCGCTGAGCAGAGAGTCTGATGCGGGGCTCGATATCAGGACCCTGAGATCATAACCTGAGCCGAAAGCAGACGCTTAACGACTGAGCCACCCAGGCACCCCAACTTCTGTTATTTATAACAAAAGTAGATTACTTGAAAGAAAAGCACGAATTTTTATTTGAATTTTTCTCACAAAGTCTTCTGGTTGAAATAAGTAAAAGACAAGAACTGCTAAAAATGATCAGTATTCAAGTTTGAATTGGTATTGGGAGGAAGTCTCTGGTAATATTTTATATTAACTAAAAATACCATAAAATACTGTAGTGCCTGACAAGATGAGGAGGGATATTAAAATGGGAAATTTAGGAATGATCTTGAGAGACAAAGACCTTTGTGTCATGGTCAAATTAATAAGTCAAAATTTTTCCTTTTTAAATGCTGAGAAAAATAATGTTTTCAAATACAAACTTTAAAAAGAAGATCTATGGTGGGGTGCCTGGGTGGTTCAGTTGATTAAGTGTCTGACTCTTGATTTTGGCTCAGGTCATGATCTCAAGGTCCTATGATTGAGCCCCATGTCTGGCTCCAAGCTGGGCGTGGAGCCTGCTTAAGAAACTCTCTCTCTTCTTTTCCTTCTGCCCCTCCCCTCTGCGCACTCTCGCTCTTAAAAAAAGAAGATCTATAGTATTTCACAGGCAACATTGTTGAGTGCTTCAAAAGTCAATTTAGGACACATTTTTCTGAAAATATTTTTTTTTGGGTAAAGGAAGTCCCCAAAACTCTAAGATATGTAATTTAACTCAAGGAAAAATTAATGACCAAATAAACAGCTTCAAAGACAATCTAAATGGAAATTAAAGATCTCAAAGAGGAGCTGAAAGGCTTGACTCTGAAATAAAGAATGTTAAAATATTATCTGTAATAGCAACAATACAAATCAGTTATAAAATATTGTGAATATTGTGTTATTCATCTAGGTTATAAGAAAAAGTATATCTGTCCTCAACAAACTTTACTATCTCCAGTTGAAGCCACAAATAAGTGAAAGGTAAATATTGATGATACACTATTGAGAGGGGTTGACCCTATTCTAACTTTTGAATACCAAGGACCAGGAATTACATCCTCAATCTTCTGACCCGCCTCACTTTAGTTCACTCAGCTCCTCTTACCCTACCTGGCTTTAAACATCTTTACCCCTAGATCCAGGTTGCAAGGAGCAGAGGTTGTGCCAGTCTTCTGTGACTTCTCCTCACTCCAACCAAACAAACAAACATTCTCATCTCTCCTGGTCTGACTTTACCTTGAACTTCCTTTGTGTGAGTAAACTTGGCATACCCTCAAGGTGGTAAAATTCCTTTATCTGATCTCCTGTGCTCTGAAAAGAAACACCAATTTGAAGATTGGTGATACAAACACAAGATAACAAAGGCCTAAATAAAGGATCACCATGAAAATGAAAAAAGAAATGAATGAAATTACAAAGTAAGAATTCACAAAATTGAGTGACTAGCTGCTTAAAAGAGATGAGGGAGAGGAGCCAAGTAAAGGGAATTAGGAAAATCAGTATATGTTTTATTTAGACAGGTTAAGTTGGAGATCAAAAGGTTAAGGTTAAAGTTAAGTTGGAGGTATCAGAGGAAGTCAAGTGGAAATGTTCAGTGGGCAGATTGAGATGACCACATACACACACACAACCAGAAGATAAAAACCACTGCCAGTGGAAAGATGGGCATGAAAAATACATATGTACCTGCAGTTAATATAACATTTAAGTATTGCTGTAACATTACATTACTTTACGAAGTTACTAACATTACTGTGTTTATGAAAATAGGTATCTGGGAGCTAAATTTATTGTGGCATTAATATGCTTGAATTGGTAAAAAAAACATTCCGCATAATAATCCCCCAGAGAGAAGACCCTCAAACCACTTTTATCCTATTTACCATTTTTAAAAGAAAAGAATTTTTTCTTCCTGAAGCCAGTACCTAAGAACAGAACTTCTGTCTTTTTGTTCGGCACCCTTACCCCTGTTTTGGCCTCATTCTCTGTCCATCAGTTAGAACTGTATTGCTACACAGTGGAGGGATTTTGTGGTAGAAACTCTAAGAAACCCCCAGAGTTTTTGTTATGTAGGAATACTGGTTTCAAATAGTCACATCGTCTCAAACTATCACATGTTCAGTTAGTAGCTTCATGCTCTTATTCCAGCCTCAGCCTCTCCCACCCCTTTATTTTCTCATCTAATGCAGCTGCCCACAAAGGCCCTTCTTTTTAAAGGCCTTCTTAAAGCAATAAGAATTTACAAGGTGTCAGGGAAAGAGGAGTGCCCAAAAGATGTTCTTTCTCTATTTTAGTAACAAGGCCATTGAAAATTAAATCATATTCTAGAGAAATGTAGTCTCATTTTGTGAAAGTGTTGCATTGTGAATAAGTCTTGAGAGAAGGCAGGTGGTACTCTCAAATTCCTCTATTTGTAGGGCTTTCTAAGCCGCATTTTCTATGATTGAATAAGGTGCCTTGTGTGTGATGATTCAGGTTATAGGTGCACAGCCCCACTCAGCTACACGTGCCCCAAATTAATACATAAACCAATTTTAGAATTTGCCCTGATTGGGTTTCCCCTGCAATTTTCGTGATCTATAGAGTGCCTCTTTCTTTTACTTTTGAGTCCATGGTAAGAACCAGTATTCTCATTTCCCTTGGTTACTCAGGAACAAAGTCTATCCCACAATCCCATTTCAGTACTCTTACCCACACTCACTCCAAACCCAACTCAAAGTCTTTCCTGTTTTGTTCATCAAATTCCTCCAAAATAGATGTGCCTTTCACCCTGCATTTTGAATACAGACTTCTAGGTGACAAGCCTAAACTGTTCTAATTTCTGAACTCAAGCTTACCCCCCACCGTAGTCTCATTTCTTTATGGTTCTACCTCTAACTCTACTCCCTACCACCATCACAGCACACACCCCACAGGGTGTTATAACTATGGTGTTATCCCATAGTTTCAGGATATATGTTAACAATACATACACTATTCTTTTTTTTTCTGAATTAACAATTATTTTTATTGCCTCCCAAAAATGCTTTGAAAATATTCCTTTTTTTAAAATTTAATTTAATTTTA